GTAAAAAAAACAAACCTAAATGAAATGAAATGTGTGCAATATAAATGAACAGTACAGTAACAGTAAGTGAAATCCTAACAAGCAGACCAGTTATAGAGGGTTATAGAGGGTTATAGAGTCTTCATGAATGTATTATTATTTTGTCGGTTGCAATGTCGAATTGTTTTGGTGAACCAGACGGATAAAGCTTGGTAAGTGACCTAAACCCGTATTAGCTTCATAACCACCGTGCTAATGGCAGCTTCCGCAAACTCACTAGATAGAATTCTCGTGTGAAACTCAGTGTGTAATTTGCTTCACACTGCAATTATGTAACAAAGTCACGGGTCACGTTCAAAGTTAACTTTTGGTTTTACCCGTTTAAAGCCACTATAAAGGAACTGAGGACCGCTGAGGCCGGACGCTGCACCAGACTCCCTTTGGAAAACCTCCGATTTCAGTGACGCAATGTTTGACAGGCTGCCCGCTCAGTCCTCCAACAGCAAGGCTCCGGGTTAATTCCTACGGGTGCTGTAAGCGCTTTAGGCGGAGCAGGAGGCGCCGCTGGCGGGCGCGGAGCTCTCCTGCTCCCAACAGAGTCTGAGCTGAAGGAGTTTCTGGTAAACCGGCACCATTTGGTCTCATCGAAATACAAACCAGTGGCACCAATGAGAAGAAGTACAATTACGTACTAATGGAAGATTTTCTTCCTGATGGTGTGTTGTTTACTGATGCAGATGATACAGAGGCCTTAGTATCCAATTGAGAGTGTTTCATAACTACATGTTACATGTATGTGACCAATCAACATACAGCATTATTCCACCTCCAATTTGCCATCCCAGTTCGTTTTCTCCCAACAGTCCAGCCATGAGTCCAGGTCACCGAGTCGGTCTAACGTCGCTCCGAAACGCCGCTCGGTCATGTCGTTATTCCAGCGCCGGTCACACACGCCCCAGCATGCATTTCAGTGGAGGGACAGTGACTTCCTCTTCCTTTGATACACCCCATCTATCTATGTTTCATGAAGTTTCTCTCACTAGACACTTTTTAGAACTCACGGATTGAAATAACAATGACGTGATTTGACAACGACGACAGTCTGAACCTGGTGGATCAACTTTGCGATACGCTTCGATCACACTCTTATCATCCGCCCGATGCGTTGTCCTGTGCAGGCTGGTGTCGAAAGGGTCAATTCTCCCTGATGATTTATCACGCTTTTGAATTATCCAGTTTTCTGTCGCCACCATGATACAATGTAGACAAAGGGGGTGACATGTTTTACTCAAAGCATTCGGAAATTACATCAGGGAAATTCAAAAGCATCAATTATTGTAGAAACTGGCCCTTCAACTGAGGATAACCCACGGACCTCCTTGTGAATAGCTTCATTTAAACCACTTCCCACCATCGAAATAGACTGAATGAAAACGGTTGCAGTCTATTATCTGGAGTAGGCAGGATGCTAGAAGGACAAGTTGCTTTTAAATAGTTGACGTTAGAATCATTTTTTTTGTCAAAATCCACAGCATATTAACTGAAAAGAGTCGCTTCTATCCGCAAAAACAGACGGTGACGGCAGAATTCAGCCAAACTGAAGACTTCCAAACCAAAGTCTCTGAACTGAACGGTCACTACGTCCACTCCGTACACGGGAGTCTGAGTCATGGGAGTCCGTGCTTAACACCCTTTAAAGGCCCCCAGCTGTACTTCCTAATTAGCGCATTAGCATGTCGACACACTGAGTTGAGACAGAGAGCACGGTCACCATTCTCCCTGCTCACGCAACAGAAAGAGGTCATGGAGGTTGTGTTAGCATGCAAACGTTAGCATTTAGCTCACAGCACAGCGACGTCCAGCAGAGCCGCTCAAACATCAGGATGCTCAGGTCTTACTGGGCTGTATTGGACTTTTAGACGTTGCAGAATTGGAAAAGCACACCCTCGGTTCCCTGATGTCTTTCCGTCCTGGACAACAGGAGATAGGAAAGTCTCTCCGGAAACGCACGTAGCTTCTTATCTGCTGGAACCGGCGCCGGGGGGGTTCTGTTGACGTGCTCCACCTGCATTTCCGAGGGGAAGATGTTGAGCTCTGTTTGCTGGGCAAAATGCGCGGGTTGTCTTTTTCTCGTATGTTACACTAGATTAGGTTGTGGATATAAGAAAAAAAACGCCAAGCACACAATTTTACGCCTCATGGCAGCTCTCTGTGGGACATCGAGGAGACAATTTATATTCATGAATATTTTTTTAAACTTCATGATCCAGAAATGGAATCTTGGGAGCTTTCAGTTCCCAGCATTCCACTTCAATAATTGATTTGCTGAAGCTCTTTTGCCACACCGTTGGGTTGTCTTCCTATTTAAGCTTGAATGGTGCTCAAATCATGACGCATGGACCTAAGTCATCGTACCATCCACCTCAGAATAAATCCATCTTACCGTTCACATCCAGCGCGTGTGTGTTTATGAAGTATAACACGGATCTGTCTCTGCCTGTTCTACAGCTCTGCTTCTATAATCCCCATCCTAATCCCAGCCTGTGTGCGTGTGTGTGTGTGTGTGTGTGTGTGTGTGCGTGTGTGGTATTTAGGCTTCTGGCTTTCAGAGGGCCTCTCTTTCCCACGCCTTCTGCACTATATGTAATAGCATAGATATTCCTCTAGTCATCCACGTCTCTCCATCGAACCACTCAACACAATGGCAGAATCACTCCGCACGCCGCTGTCAATATCTCCATTACCATTCCAGTCGACAGAATAAACACAGAGGAAATTGAATGGTCGTGGGTAGTATTACTTTAAACGATGTGATGAAATGGGCGCAGCGGTGACGGGGCGGCGAGCAGAGTGGTTCAGATGGAGAGCGGCGATTGCAACTGAAGGATAAAAGGGCAGAACAGCAAGTCAAAGTTCATTTGATTCCTCTTTAGCCAATGCTTCTTACAACGTAGGTGCTTTGCATCTTAACGGGCACTTCAGCCCAAATTAAAAAATACACCTAGAGTTGCCCGTCTTCTCCACACAAAAGCGGCAACTAAAGAATGCATATTTATATTTTATAACTGTTAACTTAAGAGTTGCCATTAAAAGTGTGCACATGAAAAGCTGCCTTCAGTTCAGGGAGTCACGAGAAGGTTGGGAGCCTCCTTTTAAAGTCCATTTTGTCTGGAGAAAGACAGGGAAGGAGACATGCAACAGAGCTCCCCAACTGGCTAAACGAGGCCCCACGGGGCCCGTCTGAGGGGGCATATTTAGTGTCACCGTCAGAGAGAAGAGACACACTCGGACCGTCAGTGAGGAAAGACAGAATGAAATGAAAGGAGAGAGATCGTGTTTAAGAACGGTGCTCGAAGATGAATAGAGAGACGAGTAAGAGGTGGACGAGTGGGACCCTCAGCAATGATAATCCCATTAGCAGCGCACCGCATGCTAAGCTCCCGCTAATCACGGATGTGTGTGTGTGTGTGTATGTATGTGTAGCACATGTGTGTGTGTGTGTGTGTCGAGTCCTCCTCTGACCGTCCTAATTATCTGACGTGACTCATGTGAGGGTAATTACAGCATCGGACGACCCCAAAGTCCACGGGCTGACGAATCCATAAGACACACACACACACACACACACACACACACACACACACACACACACGCTGGAAGCCGCCCGACACTCTGCTCTCTGTAAGGGGAACATCTTTCCCCATTCCTGCCCCTTTTTAGAGGCCTCTTTCCTTCTATAGCGAGTCATCGAGAGAGAGAGAGAGAGAGAGTCGGGCGTCTTCGAGCCCCCCCCGCCCTCCCTCCCCCCGTGGATTTGAACAAACGTGGCTCCTCTGCGTTCACTGTCATATGTGGCCCCGGCTCCACAGCACCGAGGGCCCGGCTACCTGAGACTGCGTTGGCTATTGAAGAAAGGTCCAGGTGTAACCCGTGTGCGGCGCGTCGGACCTCCCCCCCCCCCCACCACTTCGGGAGATACGGGAGACATGCAGGCGGAGCGTCTGCTGCTCACCGGCAGCACAGCCGCAGGGTGTTTGGCTTTAAATTGTTACGTAAAGGGAGACTGGTCCCCCCCCCCGGGGACACATGAAGCTATTCAGAGCTCTGACAGGATGTTTTTCACCTCAGTGATTACACTATTTAAATTTTAATACACCCTGTCACATATTTCTTTAATAATCCTGTCTCCTAGTTTTTCGTACTCGCATTAACATTTTACATTTGCATTTTCTATTTGATTCTTTTTTTCCCCCCGTTGAATTCTCAGGAAAAACTGAAAATTTGTCCTCGAGTTTTCTCATTGTGGACCTAGAGGTTTGAGGTACGTGAGGGGTGAGCAGAACGTTCCCATGTAACTTTGACGACAACAAAAGCAAAAGGACTCGCTCGTCTCATCTCGTGACAAGATGACATGTTTACACATTCATCTTTCTGGAGACACTTTGTGTCGCAATCAGGAGCAAAGAACTTGAATAGCTGCATCCTTTCAGACAACTACACAGAGACGCGTGGACCCCCGGCGCCTACGCACCCTCAACCCGTCTGTGTGTGCGTGCGTGTGTGTGTGCGCGTGTGTGTGTGTGTGTGCGTGTGTGTGTGTTCGGACGTGATCCGCTGTGGGTTTGGCCGATATGTCTCCATCAAGTTCCCAATTACACAGACGAGTGTCTCTTCAGAGCCGAGCTCTTTGTGGAGACACACACAGGCCGCCGGCTACCAGGCACTTCATTTCCTATTCCGCCCCCTCTCCTCGTTCTCGACGCCCTCGTCGTCCACTCCGGCCTCCCTAACACTCAAGCCACGGTCACCATGGCAACCTCACACGGAGCGCTGGCGGCAGCCAGAGGGCTAATCATGTCATCTGTCGGGGAAAAGAACGGCGAGACCAAACACCCTCGGAGCGTTCACGCAGAGCGCACTCGACCCAGATGTCCAGTGCGTCCTCGTAAACACACATACGTCATGCGTGCACATTGACACGCACGCACACGCACACAAAGGTCAAAGAAAACATGCCTTACCTTTGCTCATGGTTCATCCTGGAACGTGAAGTTAGAAACGGGAGCTGAAAGAGGACAAGACGGGATTTTTCCTGTCAGTGTGAATCCGTCTGCACTCTTGAACCGTAGACAAAAATACGCCGCATTGATTGTTGTTGTTTTTCCTGCTGTTTCTCTTTGGAAAAGAATCATTTGCTTGACGGCCAGTCTTGGATGACACAGACAGATTGGTGAAGGGGGGCCTGCAGACATTTGCTGCTTAAAAAAGAGGGAGGGGGGGGGGCATTCAAGGCTGCCACGAAATATGGCTCCCTGGGTACGTTGCTCTGCTGCCTCTGGGGACCATACGGGGTACTGCAGCCGCACCAGCTCAGGACAGTGACCTCAGAAAATCACAATCACAACCCTGTGAGGCAGGGAAACGGGGCACGTGGGGGGGTGGGGGGGGGGAGAGGGGCGCAGTTGGTTTGTGCAAATGAAGATATTGCCTCAGCAGGTAAGCAGCCAAGTTGTGTTCCACATGCTGTCTGATTCCAAACCAATCCCCCCCCCCCCCCCTGGAAACCGCCTCGCTTCCTTCGCTGTACAGCACACGCGAGTCCCACTGAAGCCTCGACTCGACGCACTCCAGCAACACTGTCAAAGAGGTTTTGCTTATTGAAGTTTTTGGCGAGGGCTCGCAAACCAGAATGAGTCACAAAGTCGACAGAAAAAAAAAACTTCAGCCGGCCCCAGAAAAGTAAAAAAAACAACACACACACACACTCAGAAGGCCTACGTGCAGCCCCTGCATCTTTTAGCGAAGGGAGCTGAGCGCATGCTTTATATTTAGAATAGTGACGCGACGCGCCCGCTAACACGAGAGGAAAGCTCAGCGATGCGTCGCAGAGCCGCGTCTTCAATAATGTATCGGAGGCAGCATTTAAAAACAGCCGGGGATCACAGCTCTGTCCCGTCCTGTCTGCCCGTCCGTCTCTTTGCGTGACTTTCCTCCGGGTCCGTCCTGTTGGCAGCTGATGTTTGGTTAAACTTTCGTCCTGTAGACGGTCTCTTTGCTCCATCTGTCCCTGAGGACATCTGTCCCTTTCTCAGAAGCGACGTTCCCTCTCTCCTCTCTACTCTGTGTCTTTCTCCTGGACATGTCAGGGCCTTTTAGACACATAAATCATGCACCCATCGAGCCCTCGGAACGAAATCTGGCTTTTGACAGCGAGGGCAGGAAGCGCACGCGTGGCTCTCTGCTTGTGTTTGTCTGGTATTTGGGTTCGAAGGTCATCGCGATACTCGGCTCTCACCTGTTCAGGGTCCGCTGTGCCGCTTCATCCTTGAGGAACGAAAGAGCAAGAAAATCTCCGCAGAATTCTCCTGCATGGGGGAGGCGGGGTGGTGGGGAGAAGGGGAAGAGGAAAAGAGGAGAAAGGATCAGGAACAGCGCGTTGGCCTTCTCATGTGCAGCAGGAGCTTCGCAGCGGAACAATCATTGTTCCAAACGGATCAGCCTGGGCTCAACTCTTACACCGAGGCCTTTGAAGGCTTCTGGGCAGCTACTTACAGGCCGCATCCACTGCGCTCTACTGTGGGACCGTAAGCACACACACAGATGTTTCCAGATGCCCACCTCCTCCGTGTTTAGTGCCCACAGTGACCTTGTGCCGTTATGCAGAGTTCTTCTTGCCTCTGCAGCGGTGCAGCCGAGCGCACCGAGTCACCGCTGAACACAAATCACTTCACTGGTGGAGCGACATCATGGAGGGCTCTCTGAGGACCACGGCATCCGTCCTCCGACAAAGTAACCCTCTGCGTCATCACGTGCGCTACCGTCCAAAAAGAGCGGTTTGAAAATGATTTCACCCTCATTCATGAAGCAGTGATTCTAGGGAGTGAAATTATGTGCTGAAAATAATATTTTGTCTTCGGTATTTTGTTTTCTTTTTCATTCTGCAGCATTATTTGTGGTTCATCCCGAGTAAAGGGGTGGCTGGGACTTTATTGATTGTTATTATTATTATCATCACGGTCGCCGTATTTTGTGCTTTCCGACACAAACATTTTACAAGGATTGCACATTTACTGTCCTCATTACCTTCGTTCTTCGCTTTGTGCCCATAGGAACTGATGCAATTTTGAAACAAATTGAAACGTTAAACGTTGTTAAAATCAGTATAAAAAGATTGATTCATTAGGACAATCTGTCAATCTTTCTGTTGAGCTGTTTTCTGTTTTAATTTCAATGACTTCAAAAGTGGACGTCAAGTTATTTCTCACGTGACATAACACTCAATTACATCCAATGATTTCATTTTAATTTGGAGACGTTTCCGTTCATCGCCACGAAACCGCTCTGGAAAATAAGCAGAAAAGTTTTTTGAACATGAAATGGTTCCAGTGGGAGAACGCGTCATGCTCAATCAGTACAATTGAGAGGTGGGACCCCCCCGTCAGTCAGCCCGTAGCAACGCACTTCACAGCCCTGACATTTGACAGTGAAGCGAGGGAGGAGTGACAGCAGGCGTCGTTGCACGCAGCCACCACTAGTCGGTGCTGTTACACCACTCGCTGACTGCACTGTGGAACGGCCGAGACCAGGACGGTTGAATACATCAACCGCAGGATCGTGAAGATGTAAAGAGATTTCTTAATCACCAGTGGGAAGAAGTGGGACATGTGTCGTTACCGTTACGTTGCCTAACCCTGCGGGTTCGTTGGCGGGGTCGCGGGGGCCTCCCACGTCTGACACCATCTCACTCAACATGGTAAGGAGAAAGGAGCCGTGTCGACGCTCGCACGTCTGGCAAATGTACGTATGTGCGCCTGGCGTGGAAACCCGGTTCCCGCCGATGGTACGCTGCTTCTGCTTGTCCTTCGTAACGATCTGCCGGCGGCTGGTGAAATCAGTCGGGTGGCGGGTTGTTAAGCACCGGTTTCCCACTATTGCGGGCCGCCGGTTTTCCTCTCCATCATCTTTGTTGTTCTGGTGGGTTTTCCGGGCTCCCGGGATGGAAACCACCTTGTTAGTGAGAATGTGCTTCTCCTGCGCTGGCCCGGCACAAGGCGTTTAGGAGGGAAGGGGAACCAGCTCATTTTCCGGCCTCACAGGTGCGGGTGCAGGTTATGTTTATCCCGTTGGTCTTCAGAGCCGACGTTACTGTTAGTCTTCCCCCATGTTTATGAGGTAGAAGTGGCGCCCGCGGTGAGGCTCTGCCTGCCAGCCCGCTTTTAGTTGCTTTGCATCTCTGTGAGGCTTCCCCATGGGAGCCCTTCAGAGTGCCTTTGAATCCCTCTCATGGCCGACCGTACAGCCAGCGTCGAGATGTTCAAAGTGATTTGAGGGGGGGATTCGACAGCGGTTGCTCCGGTCGGACGATCTGCCTTTTTCTCTTTCGGTGTAGAGAATGATTCACTGGCATTATTTAGGTCACTGAAGTGCTTTCTCGGATCCCTCTTCACTCCTTACACCGGAGGTGTTCCTGCGCGGCGACGGCCCGGATCATTTTTTAATGTGTCACCCCGACCGCAGCAGCTGGACGGCCTCGGCTCACTCTGCGTCGGGCTTCGCTCAGCATCCCTGAAACACTCTCCTTCGGTTTCCGTCAGCTGGACTCAACATCAAGGCGGAGTAGGTGAGCGGGGCAGAAGGGGGGGGGGCACCACGCGTGGAAGCTTCCTCGCCGTCAAGGTGACTCGTCACCAGGAGACACTGGTGGAAGCGCAAGCAGGAGATGGAGTGAGGAAGGCTGTGGATTGGTAATAATCCAGGTTCCATCTTAACACAATAGGTTGTTAATGGCCTGAATATCTAGCTGATTACGACGAGGCCAACCGATACCTGGTTGGACACAATAACAAAAGCAACCGGGGGACATAACGTTTCCCCGCCTGGTCCTCCAGACACTTTAGTTAAAAACGTGAGCCTGTCGAACATTTCAAAGACGTGGAAGTAGAATTCCGGGTTGGGGAAATACAAGTTACCCTTAAAGGCTCCTGAAGGATGCCTTTCATGTGCAAAACGCCCCAAGAGGGTAAATCAGACGATCAACCCCGTGTAACGGGGGCCAAACTACCACAAAAGGCCTCTATTAACGGGTGGGGCCAAAGAGGTGAACAAAGGTGTCTCCAACAGGGGGTGGGGGGCATTATGGGGACGGGACTTGAGTAGAACCTTTTCAAATGATGAAGGACAAATGGACATGAGGAGGAAGAGGAGGTTGCTGAGCTGTCCCTCCTAAAAGGAAAAATGACGCCGTACATCTAATAAACCCGAGTATCAAATCCTTGTGAAGATCACAAACGCCCGCCGTGACCTGCTAATTTGCATTTGAAGAGGTCACCGATGTTGGGCCCATATTGGAATCCCCCCCCCCCCCCCAAGGGCAGAACGCTGGAGCGGAATCAGAGGGGCAAGAGAAGGACTGCGAGGCGTTTCGTAATGAAGCGATCTCAGTCGCTCTCCCGATGTGACCCATTTCCCCCCCGCGCCCCAGATTCTTCTCAAGGAACCAATATGCATAAATTTAATTAAAATGGGAAAAAAAATATTGGAATAGGTTCTTATATTTCCCTCTTTCTCCAAACCATTAGTCCTTGGCTTGGCTCCGGAGTCTGACGGGGGCAGCCTTCATTCTCAGAAGGAAATGTCACCACGGAGACGGTGAATTACAATAACACGGATGAACTTTCACTGCAAAGGACGCGGTGGGATTGAAAATATGTTTTAACTGTGTGTTTATGTGTGCAGAATTAAGATGATCGGTTCTCCAAGTACCTGCCCTCTCTTCAGCTGTTGACTAAAAGTATTTTCTTGGGGCTTTTCTGTTGTGCTGTAAGACAATAAGGACTCGTAATCCCCACATTTCTGTCTGGATGTTTTGGGATTTTAATGCTCCGACACAATGGCGCTGTTTTATAAAAGATGTAACGGGTGTGAGGGGATTTATCAAGTACACGTGTGGGGCCTGGTCCAAATTGCAAACCCCCGCAAGATAGCGAGGGGTTTTGTTAAATATCGTGCAATTACAATTTTCCCTGCAGCGACTTATTATACAGCACCCAGACTCCCGCTGCAAGAAGCTCAACACAAGAGTATCACTGCTGCTGCTCCCGTCGTCCAGAGGTTCTTCTGAACATCAAAACTGTCCATCAACTCATGACAGCTGCTTCACATGCTTGTTTTAGGAGGAAACCTCTGGAAAGGAAAAGGTGAAGCCAGCGGTCTGAGATTCAGCACTACTGGACGGTGAGTTGTCAGGTGATTTAATGCTGTTTAAGTAACAGAGTCAAATACTCTTTTGATTGGCTCAACAGTCGGTGAATTGTCAACACATCGGGACCCTAGTTCTGGCCTTCATAGTGAAATATTCAGGACTACGTAGTTTGCCAGCCAAATGAAAATAGTTTAGAGGATATTCATATGTATACTGTTCTCTTCATGGGGTTTGTGGCAGCAGGAGAGTCGGTGAGTCCACGAGCCGTGTTCAGAGCCGCGTGATCCCAGTGTGGTCTCAAGGCTCCTCGGCCGGCACAGTAATTACATTAGCAGCTGAGTAATTAGTAATGCGTACTGTTTTACTAAGTCACTGCCGTTCATGGCTCTGGATCCCCTAATGTACACTGATCTCCAACACTGTGACACTGTGGTTTCTCTTCTCATCAGGAAGCAGGAGCAGGTTTCTGCTGTCATCGCTCCCGCGGCTGTGAACGTGCTCGTTTGTGCGTGCGTGCGTGTTTGTTTCTTCCCAAGCATCTGCCGTCGTCCCGCTGGTGAAAAACGAGGTGCACATAAGTCATCCGGTGAGAGGTAGTCACTAATAGGGTGGAGGCTGCTCCACAGGAATGAGCTATGGCCTTATTACCCACCTCACTTCCGTGCAGTCGGTGTCCTCCCATAAAAGCACGACAACACTGTTCCTGTCCTCTCCCTGCACATGCTCCATCCATCCCTCCATCCCTCCCGCCCTCCATCCATCCCTCCATCCCTCCATCCCTCCATCCCTCCCTCCATCCCTCCATCCCTCCCCCTCTCTCACGCTGAGACTCCACCCTTTCTCCTTCTCCTCTCCCAGAGCCTCTTTTCTTCCCTCCACCTTCTCCCCTTCCTCCTGTGCAGCCTGGATTAAAATAGCCTCTCCCCTCTACGTGGCGCCTACCTGATTTACTCAGCCCCCCCCCCCCACGCCTCCACCCTTCCACTCTGCTCCAGTCCTACCCCAACCTGACCTCATCCCCCTTTTATTTCCCTTCCTTCCCTCTCCATCCTCTAAACTTTCATCATATGCCTCCCCGCTTGATCTATTAATCTCTCTCGGTTCTCACTCGGTCTTCCTTATCCCCTTGGCTCCTTTCCTCCCTCGCTCCTTCCCCCCCCCCGCCTCTCCTCCGCCTCAGCACCTGCTTTCGGGAGCTGTCTAGACTGGCAATGACATGAGGATGGAGGGAGTCGGAGGAGGCGGACGGGTGGAGAAAGGGGAGGATGAGAGGGAGAGAGACTTCTGAGGAGGAGCGGGAGTGTTTGAGGGAAGCGAGATAAGAAGGGTGGATGACATGAAAGAGACTTATTGTTAAAGAGGGTTTGCCATCTGAAGTGGAGCTGTTCGTTTTTAGAAGAACACTTCTCTTCGCTTCTTTTGTGTTTGTCAGTTTTCTTTGGTGGTTTTGGTTTTTTCGCCTTCTTCAGTAGAACAACAGCAATCGTTTGTGTGCAGCTCACATGCTTCACACCTCTGTCCACTCCTCCGTCACTGCACTCCTCCGTCACCGCTGAATCCCCCCACGTGTCGGGTTTTTTCTTGGTGGTAAACCTTCACTATTCACACCCGGTGTCCAGGCCGAGAAACAGCATCCAAGGGGACTCCGCCTGTTTTCCCTCCCGATGAACGACTCCATCAAGGCCTTTTATTGGCGGCTGAGAGTCCCGTCGAATTGGGAATACGGGTGGTGGTGATGGAGGAGGCGGAGGAGGAGGAGGAGGAAGGGGTTAGAGAAAAAATAGAAAAAGAACTGAAGGTGATGAGGCAAACGAGGATAAACAGATGTTGGATTTTATCTTTAAATGACACACACACACACACACACACACACACACACACACACACACACACACACACACACAGAGTTTGTTTGATCGCCTGCTGTTTGTCAGGTTCAGAGGGTGTTTGTGTGTCTGTGTGTGTGCGCCTGACAGGAGGAGGTGTCCTGTCTGTCTGTTACAGGATGTGATAATTAACCTTTCTCCCGCTGAGCGAACGCTAACAACGCGCCGGCTTTCAGCGAGTTTCATCACAAACACGACGCACAACTTCGGTGGTTTGGCACCGTGCACTGGGCCGAGTGCCGCGTGGGTTCGACCTGCCGGTTGGGGTCTGTAGCGGTCCACGGAGGTAGCTGGTGGGCCGAGGTGGGCTAACTGGAGCTGCTTCGTTGGGTTGCGCGGAATAACCGTGAGCTGCAAACATCTTTATTGCTTTTCCGCTTGAAAACAGTTTAATAAAGGTAATAAACGTCATTTATAAATGAGATAAAATAAACAAACCATGTCATTTGTTTCATTTGCTCTCGTCAGTTAAATAAAATACCCGTTGCTCTAGTTAAAGGCAGGAAAACATGTTTTTGTTACAGGACAATCGTTTCATCAGGGACGTAATAAACGCCGTTCAATCACCTCATTTACATCTAAGCTGCTTGGTTAACGTTCGTTGGGATCTTTTTGGCGGAGAGGCTTTGGACGGGACAGACGACTTTTTGGCAGATTGAGCTACTTTTGAGGCTTTTTGTGGGAGGGGTCGAGGCAAAACCCAGCATTCTGTTGTTACTGCTGCTTCCTCAAGATGACCATCGATGACCATTGATTTCCTCTCATGCGTTAAACAACATGTCATAGGAAGGCCACGACCATCGGAGGCTCCCTCGTGTGCTTTCTAGGTCGGACAACAAGCACCTCGTGACTGAACAACACTCTTCCCCTTCCACCACCAATACGACACAGAGGAAGAAACAAAACCCCACAGCCTCAAGCGGGCGCCGGCGTGGCCGGCGTGGCCACCAACGGAGAGGACCACTCGGGGCCCCGCCCCCCTCCGAGTGGCCGAACCGCAGACACTAATGAGGCTCTACGTGAGTCACTACAAACACACACACGCACAACAAGACACACGCACAACCCACCCGGGGCACCAAAGCAAGAAGTAATAAACTGTGGTGCTTTTTGTGCGCTAACGTCTTTGAAAGAATTGTCATTCCTCTCTTCTGATCTGAGGCAGGAGAAGTTACAGTATCACAGTATTGTTTATAAAATGATCAAATTAGTTCAGAGAACAAAAACAACCTGCAGCCAAACATCTTTTTTCTCCAAATTGTCGAAGCCAAATGAGGTTATATGATATAAATGTGTGTATATTCCAAATATGTTTCGAGGTTTGTGTGCTTCTGATGGAGAAGGTTTTTGTCGGTCGGTCCCGAGGACATCCCCCTATTTCTCGTGCATTGGAGAGTGACCCAAGTCTTCCAAAGAGGCTGGATGTTCCCCTTATGTAGAGAAACTAGCAGGTACGCTATTCTCTTTAGAAATAGAGTTACAAGAAAAAACCCGTCGGTCTTGTGTTGCCAGCTGCTTGTCATTGAAACTAGCGAGCAGCGATGCACCACAGGTCGCCGAATCTGTCCAGAAAACTGCAAAGTCAGCAACACTGGCGGTTTGTCAATTTCCCCGATCATTTCGTTCTACCCAAAAGTAACGATTGGATGCTAATTACTGACCCGGGGCAGCCATACAAACCACATTCCTTTGCTTCTTTTTTTGCAGCAGATCAATCGAATGCTTGATTGATGAGTTGCTATGATGATGTAATGTTTTTAGAGAATATCGCTGTGTCAATACTCATGTTTTCAGGGCCTCAGAGGATTCAGTCGGGCGAAGCTCTCTCTGCCAGGCGCAGTGGTGACGTCCTGAAGCTACATGTGCCAATAGGAATAACGAACGTGTTGAATTGCCCAGGCCTTGTAACAGATGCAGCAGCGTGCGAGGGGAAGTCAATCAAGCGCGGCATGTTCACGCCCACTCAGTCAGGAAGCGGCCAAAGCAGAAACCATTAATGACTCAGACTGAGACACTGGTGTTCTATATATACGATGTAGGTATCAGCAGTCATACGCTCTATACCTCTCCTTGTGGGCGGGTCTAAACAAAGGCAAACCGGCTTCAGCTGGGTCCTAGTGCTCGACCCGTCTCTGTTTACCGTAACATTGTTTCTGGACGGTAAAAACAGCAATTGGACCAAAACGGGCCTTTGAAAAATGACCAAATTACGTCCCTGGATTGTACAAACCATAGACTACTTTTAAGAAGCTTTTTTTTTAAGCTAAAGCGCGGAAGACAACGGAGTAAGTCAAGGGGTAATCTCTTTTGGGTATTTTATAACTTTAATACTTTAACAAACACACGGCCACACCGCGAGGTCAGACCCAGTTGTCCTGCTGTGCCGCTTTTCATTTTCTTCTTAAAAATATTGTGAGTCTGCTGATATTATTACCGAACACCGCAGTGTGAGAGTAATAACTTTGAGAACGCTGAAACCTTTAATCCACAAAATCGCCTTTTAAAAAACTACGAGGCACATTCATTCTTTTTTCTTTTCTGCAGACGGACCCTGATATGACTAAGAGCAGTTGACTGTATATTATCACACGCCGTGCGTAGCGTGCATAATCAGCAGGCCTGTCGCAGTGAGCGATAAATTGACCTATCGCACGCTATCTTATATCGAGTGCAATCATTTTTGGAGCTAACACATAAATGAACGTCACCAACATTTAAGTTGATCGCGCTGTTCCTCGTGGGACGCGGGGGCGGGGCTTAGGCAGCGTGCACACAGACGGAGAGACGCAGTGAACCCACGGCGTTATATTCATAACATCCACAGCCGGACCCGGTCAGATAATCCCGATGGACTCTACTTGGAAGGCACAATGTTCGGCTTCACTTTGGGAACATTTGGGCTTTAAGCCGAATCACAGAAGAGACGATCAATGTGAGCAGGGCGGTGCGTCGACTTTAAACTTTGTTTCAAAACAGTGGCAACTAACTATTCTAACTATAACTATTCCGACAGATAAAACGTTCTTTGTTGTTTGAAAGTACTTGTATTATTATATATTGTCATTATGTTATCGGCGGCATAAAATGGTCTGAAAATTGGAATAATATCGCGATAAATGTTGGTGCAATAATCGCACAACATAATGTTGATATCGTGATAATTACTACGCAGATATATCTGGAAAGTGTTCAATAAGACATGGAAGGACGTGAGTCTGGGACCATATCGCTCCTATATAAAGTAGCCCACTGGCGTTCACCAGGGGAGTGTTACCCAAAGTGTCTCTGTGTTAACGCACTGCTATGGTGTCCACGCCAGCAGCATCCCGGGCCAAACACATTCTGCGAGGACGCAGATTGTTTCGTGGCGCACACGGCGTGCCAAGTGCTGATGGCCCGCTGCGTTTAATGGGAGGGGGAAAGTACGAGGGAGACGGGCGCCTCTTTCTCTCTTACCTTAAGAAGCACTTCAACGCGTCCAACTGCGAAGAGAAGGGGGGGAAAGAGGGGGGAGACAGAGGGGGGGAGGAGGAGGAACGAGAAAGAAAGGAAAAGGAAATTAGATCATGAGAAGAAGGTCGCAGAACAACAACCTTCCAAGACACTTTGTTGATTTCATCTGCTGAAAGATGACTACACATGTCTGAATCTCTTCACACCGTTAATCCATAAACTATTCTAATACTGGTGTAACTGTATACAACATACACAGAAGGGTCCTTGTCTTCGAGAGGGTGCAGAGTGTAGCGCAAATGTCCTTTTTGTGTATCTTTTTGTGACCAGTGCAGGTGGGTTTGTGCACCGGGGCTGTGAACTAGATCTTCATGAAGAAGCAAAGGGAAGCGCTTTCTGCTGCAACGCAACGGCAACTGTTCAAGAGAAAACTTGCAGAATTTAAATAAACAAAAGGGAAAAAATAATATGCTCCAGAAATAGCCCTCGGTGGATTTGCTGAATCTCTGGAATCTGTACAATGTTTGTTCGTCTCCTCCTTCCTTCTGCGGCTCGAGGCTTTGTCAGACGCCAGCGGAGCGGAGCAGGAAGGGGGAGATGGGTTTGCTTGCTGCTTGTCTTCCCCTGCCAACCAATGGCCTCCTGCACTTCCCACTGGCTGCCATCCGTTGGACAAAGACGCCTTCAGGCTGCCAGTGTTCTCCAGTGCTCATCGAGTGGTCGAACAAACACACACACACACACACAACTTTGATGCCCGTCCACTATTTCGGTTGCATTCCAAATCTGACATTCACACACTCTTCAGCCCTTGTTTGCCCGGTTGTGCGGTTGTCCAATTCCACCACTTCTAAATGTGACCGGCGGAGCACTGAAGTCCTCCAGGAGAGAGCGGCCGGCGCGGTCGCTTCATGACTTTGGAAACTCAAACTTTAAAGCACTTTAAACAAAAGCGCACTGCTGTGAAGGGGAAGGGCCAGGGGGGGCCAGAGGGGCCAGGAGGGCCAGGGGGGGCCAGGAGGGCCAGGAGGGCCAGGGGGGGCCAGGCATTACGCATGAGGTCTGCGCCTCGGGGCCCAGGGGGCCCTTGGGCTCACCCCGCTCTTAACACCAACTTGCTTGGGGGCTCGCCTGACACAAACCCCCGGTTACCACGGTTACCACGGCTGGACAAACGTGCACGCTCTGCACAGGCCGGCCAGGCTGCCACCCGGAGCGTCCGGCTCAAACTCGCTCATCAGAATTACCTTGTAAACATAAGACAGCTGTCTGGGTCACGAGGCGAGAGCAGCGGCCAGCGGCCGCTAAGCGTGTGCTAAAGGCACGCGTGGCAAAGCAAAAGGGAAGCACACGGTTTAAACACTTAAAAGAAACACTAATGAATTGAGTTATTGCTCGCAATTTCAAAGACAGCTCGGTTTTTCAACACCCAAAGAGATAAAGCAGTGACTAATGTCACCCGTCAAAGACAATCTGGTTTTAAGAGAGAAGATGCTTTGGTAAATCTATTCAGAGGGAGGAAAAAAGGCCGATAGAGAACAATACGCCAGAAAAAAAAGTGTTACCGTAAACTTACACCATCAATGGAGTTTCAATTGTTGTGCGACAATATTTGAATACGAGGTGAAGCTGTTAATTTAGAATTATTATTATTAATTCAAATGTCATAATGGCAAATTCCACAGACACGGTTATCTATAATGTGTACATGTGTTGCTTAATGACACATAAAGTCTATTAAACAAAAATACAAACACCATATTCATATGCTGTAGACACAATCTGACACCCATGATTGCACAAAGACATTTAAACCCTCCCCACAGACACACACACACACACACACACACACACACACACACACACACACACAGCGATCAGAGTGTTTCATTAGCGAGGAGCAGATAGATTACCCTCCCGAAGGAGACATTGACCAAGAGGCCATTGATCTACTGAGCTAAACCAATCTGCTTGTGCGTGTGTGTGTGTGTGTGTGTGTGTGTGTGTGTGTGTGTGTGTGTGTGTGTGTGTGTGTGTGTGTGTGTGTGTGTGTGTGTGTGTGCGCGCACGTATGGAAAGTAGCCCACTGATGGAGTCTTTAAGTTGTTTGAGTAAGCAGGACAGTAAATCTAATCCAGTTGTATTTAACAGAGAGAGAAGGAAACGGGCAGCTGACATATTCATTAGGTCCAATTACTCCGGCCAATCTCGCCACACGAGTGACAACCAGCAGGATTTATGTCTCGGAAAGAAGAAAAGATCAGAGAAAAAAAGATTGATAGGTCTCGAACGATGAATAAGAAATATATATTTATTACTGAATTTACTTACTTACTGAATGACGAGGCGGCGCGTTCGAAGGCGTCTGAGATCATTCGATCAAACTCGTTCAAGCCCCCGTTACAGCGCCGAGGTCTAAATCAATCCGGCTACAACTGGAATTACTCAATTACAGCGGCCTTATTGATGCTTTAATAGCGATCGCCCCGCTGCCAACGTGACTTATGGTGATAACACGGTGACACCGCCATCTTTCTCAAAACAAGGCGCGTTGGCGGCGCTAACAATCAAGGGCGGAAAACAAGAGCAACGATGTTTCTGCTGACAAATCATCTGCCTGTGCGCGTGTGTGCGTGCGTGTGTGCGTGTGTGCGTGCGTGTGTGCGTGTGTGCGTGTGTGTGTGCGTGTGCCTGGATGTTGGGACTTGTAATTAGCTCTCTAGCTTGTTCTCTTGCATTGGATGTGAAGGTAATTGGCGCTCTTGGACACTCACTCTCAATCTTTGTCAGCGCGAATGTCTGTGTGTGTGTGTGTGTGTGTGTGTTGTGGAGGACGGCCAAGCCATTACTGTGTGCTCAGCCTGCGCTAAAGCAGCTTGTGATTCATTAGTAATGAGACCATTTGCAAACTAAATGAGTGTTTGAGTGGCCGAACTGCGACGTGTGCGATGATTGTGTCCACTTTACTCGCCATCGCTCCACTGTTTTGCAAGTAAAGCATGCAGCACAGACACACACGCACACACACACAAACAAGCATGTGCAGCCGGCACGAGGAGTGCATGTGGACATGATTTGAAGGCAGTCAGTTGTGTCATTAATTACTGCTTTACACCTGCTCGTCTGTGTTAATTAAACATACCGACACACACAAACACGCACAAACACACACACATCACACAGACGCCCCTCACACTCACACACAATATTGCATGTAGAGGCACGTATTTGCTCACGCTGAGTTTCTTTTTTTTTTTACAGAAATGAGTCAAAAATACATTCTAATTTTCGCTCCGAGTGAAGGTGAGATGTCACCGCTAAACACAGCATGGTTTTTTCTTGGAGGTGGGAGGAGGGGGGGAGGGGAGGGGGGAGGAGGAAGGGAGGAGGGGGGGGGGGGAGAGGAGGAGGGGGGAGGAGGAAGGGAGGAGGGGGGTCTCTCCCTCGCCATCTCCCACCTCTCAGTCGCAGATACACCTCCTTCTCCCTTTTGTCACTCCGTCCGTTCAGCTCCTCACACACACACACACACACACACACACACACACACACACACACACACACACACACACACACACACACACACACACACACACACACAACACACACACACACACACACACACACACACACACACACACACACCCTTTAAACTTCTTCCCTCTAAGTGTAAGCATGTGAGACAGTGTGTGTGTGTGTGTGTGTGTGTGTGTGTGTGTGTGTGTGTGTGTGTGTGTGTGTGTGTGTGTGTGTGTGTCTCCTTGTCCCCCATAACATGTATGTGGGCCTCCTCTGTTTCTTTTTTTACATATAAAAAAAGACAGAGTCATAATATCAGGAGATTAACAACTAACGAAAGAATGATTTTGTCCAATTTAAGCGGCGGCGTCGGTTGCATCACAAGCACTTTGCGTGTGAAGCTGTGATACGATGACGCTCGCGAGTGAAAGCCCTTTTCATCTGCAGAGACTCTCCCTCCCCTCCTTTTGTTCTCTCTCTCTATGCACACATTTGCTCCGGCTCTCCCACGTTCCCTCCCTGTATCTCTCTCTCACACACACACACACACACACACACACACACACACACGTGCACGCAGAGCATATGGCCATTTCTCCCGTCTTTGAAGGCTTGCTTTGAAGCTATGGCGCCCGTATCGATCGGCGCTCAGATGAGCTTCGCTTCGCCGGAGCCCTGCGATTATCTGTCGCTTTATTTCAAACGGAGCGCAGGAGACGGGGGCTTACGGACGCCCGTCAGTCACTCACACTCTCACAGTCGGCCGGCGGAGGGGAGGGGGGGGGGGGTAACGAGACCAGCTTACGCAGAGAATCCCCCCGACGCTTAAGGCGAGCCGCGCCTCACAACTGACAAGCGAGAGCGGTGAGCTTTAAGCGAGCGGGTGAGAGCGAGACGCTATTAAGTCGGCCGAGGTGATGAAACTTAGGAGAAAACATCACACGCAAACCCCCCCGCAGCTCTGACGAAGAATCCGTTCATCGACGGGCGATGGGGAAACACTCAAGTCGATTTCAAAGTGCACGTGCAAACGATGGAGGGTCAAGGTTAAGAGCTGTTTGGCAACTTTTCACATTTAAACAAATAAAAGCATCTTAAAACTACTCGGGTTTGCTTCCTGCAGACTGCAGCGGGATTATTTAAAGTGGGAACTTCTACTTAATGCTCACAGGAGTTTGGGGGCGAGAGAGCCGGAGTCGGCTCAGAGCAGCAGAACTTCACAAAGTCGTCGCTTTGTCCTCTGTGGCACAAAGAGCTGGAAACACGCGTGTGACCCACCGCCTTGATTATGACACACACACTGTAGATCGTAACCAGCCGGATATCATAATTAATAATAATTAACATTACTCAGACTTATTTAGCGAAGAATGGATATGATCATCAGCAGGACGATATCGGTTTGAGATACTCTGGAGAGGACAAGTCCCTCGGAGGGACGTAATGAGGCCACACACACACACACGCACGCACACGCACACACACACACACACACACACACACACACACA